GAAGTTTTTCATTGTTATTGTTTTGTTTTGCTTACCAAAATACAACACCAAAACAGTCAGATTTGGGGGCTGACAGATATGTATAATAATGTGAGCTAAACTATAGAGAATAATTGCTTTGCCTTCTCAGTTTGCCATTTGTTCAAGGTCCAAATTAATTTGCATGCTAACCCAAAACCCAATCATCTGTAACAAAGGGTTTTAACCTCCACCCTTACTTAGGGATCTAACAGGAAAAGGAAAAGACGAATCTTAACCAAGGCATTCTCCTTGGTTTTTGGTTTTTGTTAGCTGGGTGTCATAGCTATGACTAAAGAACTGTGAGCTGGCATTATCTGGTTCTAGCCAGGTTCCAATATCTATACACTAGTACACAAGCTGAGATGGTTTGACTTGTCTGAAACAGATGAGCCTGGAGACTAACTAGAAAGGAGTAATGCCTCAGAAGAATCCCAGAGCACCATTCACCATTCTGCTGGGAACCAGCGGGGCAATGCTGCCAGCAAAGAAGCTCAGAGGCCAGCAGAGACTATGGAACCAGCAGAGATCAGTGGAGTCACATGTCCAGTGGGGAACAGTCAGGTGAGAGTGGCTCAGTGACATCACCTCACAATGTTGGCATCTTGAAGTTTCAGGACTGTGAGTTGTCCTTCCATGCATATATTCCCCAAATATGTGTCCCTTCGCTGTGATCCCTGTGCGTGCTTGATCTCCCCACTAATGAGGTGTGTGTTTGTGGGTAAATGTGTCCTAGGTTTATTGGGGAAAAGAAGAGAGTGAATATTCCATTGCAAATGTCCTTACTATATTATTTTATTAAATGTCTTTTCTTTGAACCAATGATATCCTCTGGTTGGTTAGAGAAAGAGTATACATATCAGTTGGGGCTCATGAGTTTTGGTCTTGAGTAGATGTGGTCCCATGGAATATTTTAAAACTGAGATATCTTTTCTGGGGGCCCCGTGAGTAAAAGGAGAATGCCGTAGGTACTACATTTATTTCCCCACTATGCTTAAAACAATGTTTTATATATAGTGAACATTCAATAAATGCATACAGAATTGGATTTCCTGCTCTTCTTTAACCTCATAAGCTACTTAGTGCTTAGACTTAGCGTCCAGTCTTGTCCTGGCTCAGCATTATCTCAGTGGGGCTGGCAATTTGCATCTGCACCAGGGAAGGAAGGAACCAAGTCTTTGTAGAATTGAACAGTGTGACCCAGCTGCCTGGTGTAGTCCCACCAACTGACTATCCTTTAGTGAATACCAATCATGGACAACAGGGGAAGCTGTCCTTCTAAAGTGAGAAACAAGGCTCCTGAGGGATGGAAAAAGCAGGGTATCCTTTCTTAGAATTTATCTAGTGGTTTTAAACTGGCTGTTGCATGCTTCTTCTAAACTAGTTGCACGATCACTAAATAGGCCGATTCAATTAATCACATTTTTATTTATTTACTTTTGGCTAGGCAATGGGGTTAAGTGACTTGCCCAGGGTCACACAGCTAGTGAGTGTTATGTGTTTGATGCCGAATTTGAACTCAGGTCCTCCTGACTCCAGGGCCAGTGCTCTTTCCACTTCACCATCTAGCTGTCCCTATTAATTACATTTTTAAAACAGTTAGTATGTACTTCCTATGTATAAGATTGTGGGGTGAATATAGAGAAATGTCCTTGAAGTTAAGAACATGTAGGTTCAAGTTTTGCCTTTGACACATACTGGGCTGTGTAATCCTGAACAAATTACAGCCTCTCCGTGCTCTAGGCTACCCTAAGACTGCAAGTTGCAAAGATGATGATGACATGCATTGGAAGACATGCATTCCTCACCTGGAATTTCTCTATACTAATGAAATTACAAGTCCAGTCCTTATGCCTATAGATGACATTAAAACTAAGCTAATTCTAGGAGATAGTCTGGTATTAGTGTAAAATACACTAGACATGGAATAAGATGAGTTTCAATCCTGCCTCTAAAACTTATTAGTTTTATGAACATGGGCAAGTTGTCTTCTTTGAGCCTCAGTTTTGTTATCAATAAAATGGGGCTAATAAAACTAGTGCTTCTTACTTTTACAGGATTGTTGTAAAATGTGGAAATCATTTTGTAGTGTTTTTGCATCTGCCTGGGTTGAGTGAGAATCAGATAGTAAAGATAATCCTGAGGTAATTGGAAGGATGGTATTGCCTTCAAGAGTACAGGGGAAGTTCAGAAGATAGTGGGCAGGAAGAAAGATAATTAGGTCTGTTTTGGACATTTTGAGTGTGAGATGCCCATAGGATATTTAGTTGAAAGTGTCCATTAGGCAGTTAGTGATGCCACATTGGGGTTTAGGGGAGAGACTTGGGTTGGGCATGTAGATCTGGGGGTTATCTACATAGTGATGGTAATTGAATACGTAATAGCTGATGAAATCACCAAAAGAGAAAGTATAGAGAGAAAAGAGAAGAAAGTCCAACCAGAGTCTTGAGGATACACCCACAGTTAGTGGGCTTGGCATAAATGATAAATTAGCAAAGGAAACTGTGAAAGAGTAATTATATAGGTAGGAAAACAGGATGAAGCACTGTCATGAAAAACCAGAGAGGAGAGAATATAAGGTAGGGAAAGTGTGTCAAATAATGCAGGAAGGATAAAGTTAGAGAAGAGGCCACTAATCTTGGCTTCACAGAGATTCTTGGTAAGTTTGGAAAGGCAAGTTTCGTTTCAATGAACAGGTCGGTCAGATTACAAGATTACAAAACATTGTGAAGAAAGTGAGAGGAAAGGAAGTGGAGCCTTGGAGTATAGGGACCAATCTGCAGCTGGGCTGGTTCAAACAGATTTCTTGGTTTCTGGATCCTGACAGACCTGGTTGATGCTGGACTGGACAAGTGGGCAAGTTGCTGGACTCATCTGTTTTGAGTTGGGCCAAACAGGTCATGTGGGTAGCTAGGTAGAACAGTGGATAGAGCACTGCACCTGGAGTCAGGAAGACCTAAATTCAAATCAGGCCTCAGGCACTAGCTGTGTGACCCTGGGCAAGACACCTCACCTTGTTTGCCTCAGTTTTCTCATCCTCAATGAGCTGGAGGAGGAAATGGCAAACCACTCCAGTATCTCTGCCAGGAAAACCCCAAATGGGGTCATGAAGAGTTGGACACAACTGAAAAATGACTGAACAACAACAAAAACAGGTCACTTGGCCATTGACCTGATGCTAGACAGACACAAACAGGCCACTTTGTCTTTGGGTGGCTGTTGCCAGCCTGGGCCAGGCAGACCCACTCTGCTGCAAGACTTTTCTCAAGGCGTTTAATCTCTGGGAGACAATCCTTCCACTAGTGTCTCTGGGCTTCCTCTTTGATGGGCAAGCTTCAGTCTCCCACCGCCTTCGGTTCCTGGATTCTGTCATCTCCAAATGCTTTTACTGGCAAAATGCTACTGTGATTTTTCAGTTAGGACAGCAACCCCGTCTAAAATTGGCAGAAGCCTGTCTTTCCCTCCAGAGGCTAGTCATCTCCTGGTAGAATATGGAAGGAATCTAGCTTTCAAAGTCAGATTGCTCAGTAATGTATTCTTCCTTTAAGTTTGGAGATCAGTCCCAATTCAATCAGTTACCCTTCTAGATTCCTCTCATTATCTCATGCAGATGAGTCGCTAGAGACAATGATTGTGGTCTGTGCACTAGCGGCAAGTTCATTGTCTCCTGGTTCATTCAAATACAATTGAACTCTTCCTAAACCGTGGAATGTCTATTTTGTAGAGGAAGACTTGCTTTCCATTTCAATGTCTATCTTGTCTCCTTCAGCCAACCCCCACCCTGCCCCTCCTGGGTTTCCCAGCCTTGGGTTGTTCTAATCCACTTTTCACATAGCTACCAAAATAATCTTCCTTAATCCCAGGCCTAACAAAATCATTCCCTCATTCACAAACTTCCAGTTGCTTCCCGTGCCTATGATATAAAATAAAAAGTCCTTAGTCTGACATTTAAGGCCTTTCATAATACACCTCTAATTTACCTTTCTAGCCTTATTTCACATCATTCCCCTACATGCATTGTCCATTCTATTCTGTAGAAACAGATCTATTGTTTCTAAAATTCAGAAGTGCTATCTCTAGTCTCCATCTCTGAATCCAATGGTTTAAGCGGGGTACATGCCCCGCTACTCGATCCCCCTTGCGGCCCACACCCATTCTTGGAATGACTCTCTCTTTATCTTTTCCCAACAGCTAGTGATTTTTCCCAAACTACATTGCATTTAACTATTTTGTACATATCTTTGTATGTGCTTCTTGTCTCTCCCATTAGAATGTGAACCCATTGTGAGTAGGGATTATTTCATTCTTTGTACTCATATCTCCAGTACCTAATACAGTGCCCACCATATAGTAGGCACTTAAATAATTGTGGATTCATGGAGTCAGTCTCTACCTCTCAGAATCCTTCTCTTCCTTCAAGGCTTATTTCAGGGGTTACCTCCTCTGGGATGCCTTAGATCCCACCACCTAAAAATAAGTTCAGAATTTCCTAGCACATTTTGCCTGGATTTCTCCTTTGCGCCCATCACAACTTACCATGTTTTATAGATGTAATAGGAGACTGGGCAGAATGCAAGCACTTTGAAGACAACAATTTGTTTTGCTTTTGTCTTTGTATTTTGAGTATCTTGCTTAAATGAGTACTTAATGAGTATTAATTAAATTAAAATTTAATTAATTAACACAATAACTAGTTAAACTGGTTCATCAGATTCTTTGGTGCTGAACATGTGCATTCGATCTATTTGGGAAAGTATAGCTAACCATTTTGCTGGGTAAAAATGCATTAGGATGATTTAAATTAGTTAGATTCCTGCAGTTATGTTCATTCCACTCTATGGTGAGCTCAAGGACAACTAGCTGGGATTGGGGAATTTTGTTGACACAAGTGAAATCCTTCTGTTCCGGAGGCGGAGAGAGTTTCTTTCTCATCAACATAAAGGTAAACAGCCTCAACCCTATTATAAATGGAGCCTAAAGTGCCCTCTGTCACTCAGAGCTGCAGCTGGCACGGGGAGAACTACCTGTCTGTCCCTTTGGAATACAGATAGACAACAGGAGGATCAGGACAAAATGAGTTCCAAGGCAAAGTCAGTTGGGATCATCGGAGCTCCTTTCTCAAAAGGACAGGTGAATAAATAGCCCATTTCTCATTCTCATTCTTTTAAATGTAGAGCTACAGTATGGATGTTGTTGAAGGTTTTTTAACCTTTAAAATTGATGTCTGATGCTTTTGATGGTCTTTGGCTATGGATACCTGCAGAGTTATTATCAAAAAGTCACATAATTCTGTGGAACGTTGTTGGAGTTGGGTCACAGCCCAACTTACTCAGCTGCTTTTGATCTTTGCCAAAGTTATTTATATTTGAACCACTCTCTTTTTAGTCATCAGGTATTTAAAAATGGAAAATACGTAATTTCAATTCAGTTGGAATGAAATCTTAGCACATTAATTCTCCATACTAAAGTGGATTTTTTTTTAAGTTTTAGAAAATGTTGGCTTTAGTCATTTAATCAATGTCTAGAAAAACTCATAAATTAAGTCATCCTTTAGACTCTTAATTTGCATAATTTTAGAGCGATTGCTTTGTACATAGTGCATTTTTTCAAATTTAAATGATTCATCTTTGACATTGGACTTCAATGAGAATTGTTAACTCTCAGACCGCTTGTCATGTAGATGGAATCTTTTATCAAATAATAGAATTTCTTTTCAGAAAACACCAATGGTAACATAATGTTCCAGGTTGGTCATTGGGAGCTCCATTCTAATGCCTTTTGATAATTGCATCATAGATATAGAACTGGAAGGTACTTTAAAAGCCATCAGGGTCAACTTCCTGATTTTATGGATGAGAAAACTGAGACACAGAGAGGTTAATTAACTTGTCCCCTTTCCATTTTGTTTTAATAATAATAATATTTACATATTGTACTTTAAGGCTTACATTGTGGTGCATCCATTTATTATTTAAGCACCTATTAGGACAAGACACCTTACATGGACTATCTTCCCTTCCCCCATCCCCCATCCACCAGGGAACTTCAGTGCCTCCCACTTTGTAATCTATCAACAAGGTAAGAAGAACACGCTGCTGTGTGAATTTTTGAAAACACTATCTCAGCTCAGGTGGATAGTGTTATATAGACAAACCTACAGTCAGTTGTTACCTGCACTTCACCCAGATATTAGGTCACTAATTCAAATGGGAAAAAGATAGGAAAAACTGAGAATGAACAAAGAAAGAGCAAATAACAAAGAAACTTTTATGTGATGCTTTCTCTTAAAAGATATTAATGGCCAGGAAGAGGAGATGCACCTCCCATTCTCCCTTCTTTGCAAGGGTGGGGGGTCATGGGTGTGGAATTTTTTTTTTTTTTTGAATATTTACTATTCAACTCTCTTGATGTGTTGATTAGTTCTGCTGACCTGCTTTGTCTTCTTTCTTTCTGTTTTTCTCCTTTCTTTCTTTCCTTCTTTTCTTTTTTCTTTCATTCTCTCTCCTTCCTCCTCTTCCATCCTTTTTTCCTTCTTTCTTTTAAAAAATATTTAGATAAGGAATGGCTTTCAAGAGAGAGAGAAGGGAAGGAAGAGAAATATTCAGAAACTAAGGTAACATAAAACTAAAAGATATTAATAATAATTTTTTAAAAAGACATTACTTTTAGGGGTTCTTCATTCCCTTTCCCATGGCTTGATTGGTTTTTCTTGTTATCAGGGACTTTTTTTTTTTAGTTTTGATTTCTCAATCATAACTTGCATTTTTCATGGTCAAGCTTAACATCGGCAAAGATTATAAAGTGCAGAAAGCAATAGCTCCTGCTAAAGGAGTGTCATGATGGACAGTCAAAATTATTTCTATTTTTTTCAAATACCCCTATAATTCTTTTTTCAAAGGTTAGGGAGACTGACAAAGGAGAAAAAGGGAATGTTTTGCAGAACCAAGAGGGTTTCTTGAGATCATATATTTAGAACTATAGGGAACCTTAGCAGCTTTCTAGTTTCTTCATGTTAAAGATAAAGTAACTAGAGCCTGGGGTGTTTGGTGGGGGTAGAAATATTTGCTCTTGGCCTTAGCAGAGTCAGGACCCAAACCCAGGTACTCTGACTCTACATGTAGTTCTCCTTCCACCGTACCATATTAGGAAAAGTAGTAAAAATAGACTGTTCCAATGAAAACACAAAACATAATTCTGTTTCATGGAACAGTTTGTATGAAAGATTTAGTTCTATTAAATAAGCCAACTTTGGCTTCCCTGGGTGGGCATGCTGTCATAAATCTACCACAGTGCTTTGACTTCCCAATCAACTAATTAACAGGAATTTGACTAATTTTCAGATCTGCTAGTGCAGATTAGCACTAATACTAACATATAGATGATGGGCCTGGCCGATTTTTCTCCTATGCTCTGGGGGCTGCGCCCAACCTAGCAAAAAGTAGATTTATCCAATGAAGATGTCAGCAAATTGGTTGGGGAGGGTGGAAAAAACCTCTAATACAAATGGATCCAAGAGGGAAAGACCAAAGAGGTGTAAATGGGATTGATAATCTTTGAAATTTGAAAAAAAATTAAATAAGAAAAAAATCACATGCCGTATTTTAGCAAGTAAATGTGATTCTTGCCAAATTAGAAGTCTAAACCATGTAGATTGGTTCTAATAATGAGAGATGAAAAAACATTTCAGGAAGGAAGTTGAAGTTGTGACAGAGTAGCTTTCATTTTCCTTGAAAAGAAATATTAACTTATTTGAGTTCATGTGATCTAGTCCTGGGGAGAGAAGTATGCATCTTTATATAGAACTTTGCAGTTGACAAAAGTTGACAATAGTTTTCTTTCCTGAAAAGACTTCTTGGTAAACGGACTATTAAATAAAATAATAACAATTTAAGGAGAGAATCAATTACCCTATTCTTTTATCTAGGTTGTGCCATTTTGGCAGCATCGTTAAATGTATATTGGAATCTCTTATCCGTTTTTATACAAAATAAATTAAGCAAATGGACAGACTTGTGGTGTCTTCATAGCTGAAATGCTTGTGGGTGCATTCAAGCAAGTTCTACGAGTTCTGCATTTTTTTTTTCCCCAACCCTAATCCTGGGAGTGACTTGTAGCATCCTTGGAATTTGTCCTTTCTATCCCTGGCCCAGCTTCAGTTTCTGATTAATAGAGCAAGCCCTAACCCTCCCCATCCTAAGCAACTTCTTTGAACCAGTGCTAAGCAGTTAGGGTATCAAGGGTGGGTGGGGCGGGTGTCTTATCTTAAAAAGGAGGAGCCAAGAAAAGAGAAAGTGAGATAAGTGGATCTTCTTTTGTAGATCTTGAAAGCCTTAAATTGATGCAGGAAGGTCAGTTGTTCTTATTACTGCATGCTCAGTGACAGGATCCAAAGACGTGTTGCTCAGAGTTCTCTCTGCTCTCTGACAATCTACGAGTAACTTGGGCTCAGGGTCAGGCAAATTTGGGTTTGAATTCTACTTCTTATGCTTACAAGCCTGGTAAGCACTGGCAAATAAATCACTTAACATCTCTGAGTTTCAGTTTCCTCATTTTTAATGTGAGGACAATGACACCTGTGTTATTTTTATATCAGAGTTGTTTTTTTTTTTTTGGAGGTGGCATTCAAAGGCAAGTGCTTTGCAAACTTTAAAGTGTTATATAAATATTTAGCTATATTTGTGATTAAATCCTTACAGTATTTCTGAACTAGAATATGAGGGAGGTATTCACAGTTTAGCAGGGAGAGGATAAAACGATTTATAGAATTTAGAGCTAGAAGAGACTTTAAAAATCATCTAGTACATCCCTTCCTGCATTAGATGGTTAAAGTAACTGAGGCACCATTAGAGTAAAATGACTTGCCCAAGGTCTCATAGGTAATTACATAGAAAAAGGAGTGATTTGAACAAGTTCCTTTGACTTCAAAGCCAGCACTCCTATCACACCACATTTGAGCCAAATAACCTCATGTTATTATGTAAAACCAGCACTACACTCTATTTTATGCATAATAGGACTAAAACAAAAAAGAATGAGATCTTGTTTATATGACTACTGGTGAAACAAGTTGGGATGACAATCAGGGCCAACCTGGTTTTGCAGGAGCTTGTCTTAATGCTGATTGTCAGAAAGAAAATGAGTAATTGCTGTTCCTAGCTCAGTTCCTACAATATGAGTTTGTTTCTTCTTGCGTCTCAAGCCTCTTGCATGTTACTGTGTGAGCTCATTCCCCTGCTGCGTACACACCAGATATGGGAATGGTGCTAAAAGTTTACCTTCCATTAAATCAGTGTTATCATTACCCAGCAGTGAGCTTGATGGGAGAAGGTCTGAGCACCTAGTTCTGATTTGGCAGTGTGATGCTCTGGACAGAGTAGGAGGAGGCCAAAGGGCCATTGTCAGCACTTGAGATTGGCCTTATTCACCTCCACACCATTAGCCAACAAAATACACAGCTATTGATTAACTTGTCTGTTTGACCTCTACCCAATAGTGGAATAGGGTTTGGCAGGGTCAGGTGGGAAAGAGAGGGAGAAAGATGCACTATTATGAACAAAGCAGTACCTTTCTCTCCAGTGAACAAGCAGGGGTACACATTCAATCAACTGATAGTGGATGTATACAGCTTTCTTGAAGTGAACATAAACTCAATTGGAAGAATGTTGCTCGTCTCTCGCCAAGGAAAATGTAGGTGGTAGTTTTGCTGTTTAAAAAACTTAAGTCTAGAGTTGCCTTTTAAGCTTTGGGATTTCTGCTTTTGGAACTCAGAACAAGTTTATATCCTGCTGTTCCTTTTCCAAGCATGGTTGAGATGTCACTCCATAATCTACTCACTGGAAACCTGTCCCGTTCTCAATTTTCTCCCTGTCCTTAAATTACCGGAAGTTTACTTACCTTTGTACATGTTTTTGGCCTCATAGTAGTGTGCAAACACCTCAAGATTAGAGTCTGTCTTTTCATCTCCTGCACCAGTGGGTCCAATCACCAAACATAGGACCTTGGCTCATAGCACGGGCTTAGTGAATATATGCAGCATTGAGATCCGTTTAAGACAAAATTAAGATACGTGATTTTTTAAAGTTTCTTATCTTTTATTGCAAGGCACACCCCACAAAATGTTGCCCTAACCCATGCTGTTTTATAACCCTATTAACATGTTATAAGATAAACCTTGTCTTAAAATCCACAAACCCTGCTTGTTAAAAAAAAAAATTGTTAGATCAGTTGCCCAATTGTGACACTATTCTTAAAGAACTCATTGCCCCTGTAACATTGTTTCACCTAACAGCTTTTTTTCCCCAGAGCCAACGAAGGGCATGGTGTGGGAAATGTTACTATAGTATTTCTCCAGTCTGGGCAACTAGGTGGTACTGCGGATAGAGGGCTGTGCCTGGAGTCAGGAAGATTCATCTTCCTGAGTTCAAATGTTAGCTTCAGGTATGTATTAGCTGTGTGACACTGGGCAAGTCACTTAACCCTATTTGCCTCAGTTTCCTCATCTGTAAAATGATCTGGAGAAGGAAATGACAAACCATTCTGTTATTTTTGGCAAGAAAACCCCAAACGGGTCATGAAGAGTCAGACATGACTGAAACAACTGAACAACAATAACAACAACACCTTGACTTTATTCAATATATGGAAAGTAGTTTGCTCCACTATTAGAGAGAGACAAGGGATGAGGAAAGCAAAGTGCTTCCCTCAAATCCCTTCACTGTTATACTGAATGTAGTTGGTGGTAAAAGGAAAGCTTTATTGAGATGATCCTTTGAGTGATTTGAGAGGCTGAGGAGAAAGTAGTGGGTGAGAAGGCAGTAGGAACAGTTAGATAAATTGCTTTTCTTGTTTTTGTTTTTTTGGTTGGGTTTTTGTTTCTTGGTATGCCATAGGTATCAAATAAAAAAAGTTTGATGCTTAAAAAAACTTCAACACAGCTGTCGTTTCCTAATGACTTCTCCTGCTCCTCAGAGAACCCTTCCTTGTAATAAAGAGGTATACAGTATATGAACCGCTGAGGTATTTGAGTGAAATGGAATATTACCTTGCCACAAGAAATGACAAGTATCAAGAATTCAGAGAAGCTTGAGAAGACATATCAACTGATGCAAGGGAAAGGAAGCAGAAGCTAAAGAATAGATTACACATGACCACAATAATTTAAAGGAAATCAGCTTCTTTTCCTGCCATTGGCATCAGCTTTCTTCCTCTCCTTTCTCCCTTTCTTTTTTTCAGGCTTTATTCATGTGAGATGGTAGAAGAAGAGAAAGAAATTTTCCACTTTAATTGCTTTTCTGCTCCTCTCACAATCATTGGCTAAGGGAGAAAAGAGTGAAGATTGACACTTGATGGAAAGAAAGAGGAGAGCAGTAGGAAGTAGAAAGGGAGGCAAAATTATTAGATTCAATTTAGCAAACTTTTATTAAGTATCTGTTATGTGCAAGACTGAATGCGGGAATTACCAAGACAAGTAGGAAACAGTTTCTGCCTTCAAGATCTCTGCATTGTACTGGACAGAAACAGTAAACAGGAAAAAAAAATAATCAAAGAAGGGAGCTGGGAAGACGGGGTGTGTGTGTTGGGGGCAGGGCGAGTTTGGATTTATGACTATAAGTTGCCAACTGCAATTAAACTAGTGTGGTTTGTTTAGGGGATGAGAGTTTTCCTGTTGAAATGATTCATTAAGGGTAAATCTAAATTACCACAGAGGAGGACTGGCCTGCTAATTGACTGTTATTTTTGACACATTTCATAACTAAACTCCTTGAGGGCAGGGGAAATTTTAGCCTTTGTCTTTATACCCCCAGTGCCTAATACAGTGTCTGGTGCATAAGAAATGCTCAGTAATTGCTGGTTGGATGATCTGGTTGATCACTATAGTTAAGGCAGATGGTTTTGTATAAGCAAAGCCACTAACAGTAGACTGCTCAGTAGCATAGCCTCAGAGGTCTTAAGAAGCCCAAGATATAAAATAGAGCTTCTTAAATAGAGTCCTTGAACTTGCTTAAATATTTTGACAACTGCATTTCAATCCAGTTGGATCCTTTGTAAGCCTATGTGTTTTATCGTATGTATTTTAAATCAGAGGATAAAAAGCTCCTGTAATCAGTCAGGGGAAAGCTACAGGTGGAGTTTACTTTTCTGAAAGGTAAAACATTAGAGGAGTCCATAGGTCTTATCAGACCAACAAAGAGTCCATGGCAAAAGGTTAAAGACCAGGGCAGCTAGGTGGGGTAGTGGATAGAGCGCCGGCCCTGGATTCAGGAGGATGTGAGTTCAAATCCAGCCTCAGACATATAACACTAACTGTGTGACCCTGGGCAGGTCACTTAACTCCATTGCCTAACTCAAAAAAAAAAAAAAAAAAAGGTTAAGGACCCTTGATCTAGAGAGAAATCTAGTAGCAGTACCTTCCACAAGTTTTGAGGAATAAGAAGCTAGAATTCTCCTGGGCCTCAAATCTGGACTTATATCACATATAAGTGTGGAAAGGAGAAACTGATTACCTCATGGGTCCAAGAAACACACACTTCGGTTCTGCATCTCAGGGCAGGAAAAGAGGGCCCCCTTGTGGACAAAATAGCTTTGCTCTGGTGCCATTTGTTAGCATCCCAAAGCACAAAAGAATAGTTGAGAAAGTAACCCAGTGTGCTTATGATCAAACACATCAGTTTGTTACCTTTCATGACTTTCTTTTATTTACTTTGACAGCTAGAAGGAATTCCTACAGAACAGTATAATTTCTATGAAATTTCTTGAATCACCTCCAACACCTTAGTATACTGTTCAAAATGCCATTTTTTCCCAGTCAACACCTATTTGGGCTTCAGCTAATTACCTACTGAGTTGTATTTATGTATCCACATAAAATCTTCAGAGAAATTTTTTCACTATTCACTCTCCAAAAAATGAATCTTATATAGTGAAAAAAAAAAGGTCCCTCTCCTTCCTATGTAAAGGTAAGAATGCCTGTTCTGGTCATATTCTCATGATTAGTGAGTATAGAGAGAAATCTTGAGATTTCAAAATAGGGCTAACATTAAGCAGTACAGAAAATAAAAGGATCCTTTGTAATCCTATGTTGGTCAAGTCAAGTCATGTCAACATGTACTTATTAAAGGAAGCTCCTACTATGTGTCAGACTTTGTGCTAAATACCGGGGATACAAAGAAAGGCAAAAACAATCCCTAGCCTCAAGGAGTTCACAATCTAATTGAGGGAGACAACATGCAAACCTATATGCACAAGCAATAATAACCAGAATCTACATAGCCCTTTCTATTCAAGTATTTCAAAAAGTTCATATGCAACAGGTGACATCTATTTCTTTTCAGACTGATATATAAAAATGATTAGCATCTGAATAAATTCTTTTTTTTTTTTAAATCCTCAGCCACGAGGAGGGGTGGAAGAAGGCCCTGCAGCACTGAGAAAGGCTGGCCTAGCTGAAAAACTTAAAGAACAAGGTAACTGCCATCACAAGACTGAGATCATTCTGATTTACTCTCCCCTGTGAAGGGTAAACAAGTTCATGTCAACGCACGATGACTCGGGGTAGATCTGACATTTTCTCCCTTCCAGTTGAAGGGCATAGAGCCTGAGAGACTGTGCACAACTTGAAAAAGAAGTATGAACTGGGTAGAAGACAGAAGTATTCAATAAGCATGTGCTGAATGAATGGATCATCCGGGGTGAAGCCCATGATCAGGAGATGGATCCCTGAAAATGACCGTTTATCTCAACATGGGTTGAGATAAAAGATTAGCAGTGGTCAGGACATTATCTGATGCTCTTTCTGTATAAACCCACCTTTTGTTGTTATTGTTTAGTTGTTTCAGTGGTGTCCAACTCTTTGCTACACCATTTAGGGTTTTCTTAATAAAAATACTAGAGTGGTTTGCCATTTCCTTCTCCAGCTCATTTTACGATGAAGAAATTTAAGGCCAACAGGGTTAAGTAACTTGCCCAGAGTCACACACCTAAGTAAGGGTCTGAGGCCAGATTTGAACTCAGGTCTTCTCGACTCCAAGGCTGGTGCTGTATCCACTGCGCCACCTACCTGCCCCATAAGCTCACCTGTTTGGGATAGAATCCAGGCTGAAGATTGGGGGTAGATGTATTTTTCACCTAGATCTGAGAGAATCAGGTCTAAGGACAATACTAGTCTTATGCTAAACTTCCTCCTAAAGAACAATTTTTTTTTAATGGCACTAATAGGGGTTTATAAATCTAGACACTTTGCTGTATCCTATAAAGAGCTAACATGTTACACTGTAGAACTCTTGAGGTTATATAAGAACCTATATGACCTGCCCAGGGTGATATAATGCAAGCTTTCCATGCAGCCACCCCTCACTCTCACTACATGATTAGCCCCTTTTCCCCCCTCTAGTTATACATATAACTCTGATGTTATGTTTTATGACACTTCTCCTCAGCAATTCTTCATCGTTAATATGCTACAGTCTACTTGTGTCAATCATGCCCCCTAGGCCACAGTACTTACCAGAAACAGAGCTTTTATTTCGTGGTACCACTCTCTAGAATCTAAAGTCTAGGTAGAATGGCCAAGTCTATCCTCATGCTTGGGCCTCAGTAATGTGGACAAGCCAAGTGAAGTACCTAATATAGTTTTTACTTCAAATTACTCCTTCAAAGAAACAAGTCTTGGGGTTGTTTGAGTTGTGGTCTTAATTTAGTCTATGCTATGAACTTCTTTATAACACCAAAATTTCTACGGTTTAATCAATCGGGGTACTTTATTGAAACAGCTCTTCCACATAATAATTTTATGAATTGTTGTGGCCATTCTCCCTCCCCTCTGCACGCCCCCCCCCCCCACAACAAAACAAAACAAAACAAGAAGAAAAACTAATCCCTGGACACCAACTTTCTGAGGAAAGAGCAACTCAGATTTAGCCAGAGATGAAAGTCATCTTGTTCTGATATTTTGTACTAAGCAACTAGGGGTTGCAGAGGATAAAGCACTGAACTCGGTGTCAGGAAGACCTAAATTCAAATGCCACCTGAGATATTTACTATGTGACCCTGGGCAAGTTACTTAATCTCTGCTTGTCTCAGTTTCCTCAACTATCAAATGAGGACAGCAAAGGCACCTACCTCACAGGGTTGTTGCAAAGATCAAATGAGGTGATATTTGTACAGTTTCTGGCACATGGTAGATACTATTTAAATGCCTGTTCTCTTCCCTTCCCATTGTCTTTGATCATTGAAAGAAGTGATCTTGTACTGGATCTTTGGGCCCATACTCAAAAGTCTCTCCTGGACTGAGTACCTGTCAGATCTTGTACTCTAGTGACTTATTCTTCAAGATGCCATAATGAGGAATCAGACCAAGACTTTAGCTCTGTAAAGCATACATATTTAGAGTGAGCATGGACACAGATTAAAAATAATAACAATCTATAGGGGTTGGGGGAGTAATATTTCCTTATAGCATAACAAAAGTGGACCAGGTATTATTGTTTCAGAAAAAAAAAAACCCAGTGCAGTAGCCTTATGCAGTACATTTTAAGGAGTATAGGTCTAGAGTTGTTGAGGGTAACCTGCATTTTTGTTTGTTTGTTTCCATTGCAGAGTGTGACGTGAAAGATTATGGGAACTTGTCCTTTGCTGATGTGCCAAACGATACCCCCTTTCAAATTGTGAAGAATCCAAGGGCTGTGGGCAAAGCTAATGAGCAGCTAGCGGAAGTGGTAGCAGAAGTGAAGAAGGATGGGAGAACCAGCTTGCTACTTGGCGGGGATCACAGGTCTCAATTTATAATTGTCACCAAGTCCCACAGACTTAAATAGTTGTGACTCTACTATTCTAAGAAACAACATCACGTGTGGGTAGCTCTTGAAGGTTTTTAAAGTGTCGCCCTCACAACTCTGTGAAGTAGGCCGTTTCAGTATCATTCCCCTATTGTTCAGATGAGAAAAAGTGAGGGGTTGAAGTGGTTTCCTCATTGTCTCATAGCTCTTAGGTGTTGGAACCAGAATTTGACTCCATATATTTTGGCTCCAACATCAAATGCTTTTTGAGCTCTAAACATGATGCCAAGAGAAGCTGGGAAGTTAATATTGAGTAGAAATCACTAAGTGAATAGGGATGGGAACAAGCATTTATATAGCACCTACTATGTGCTAGGGCAACTAGGTGGTGCAATGGATAGAACACTGGGCTTGGAATCAGGAAGACTCATCTTCCTGAATTCAAATCTGACCTCAAGATACTTACTAGCTCTGTGACCCCGGACAAGTCACTTAACCCTGTTTGCCTCAGTTTCCTCATCTGTAAAATGAGCTGGAGAAGGAAATCTTTGCCAAGAAAACCCCAAATGGGGTTGTGAAGAGTTGGACACAACTGAAAAATGACTGAACTGAGCTTCAATGTGCCAGATACTGTGCTAAGTGCTTTACAAATAAGATCTCATTTAATCCTCATAACAACAGGTGCTATTATTAGCTCCCTTTTACAGTTGAGAAAACTGAGGCAAAGAGAAGTTAAGTGACTTGCCCAGGTTTACATTGCTAGTAAGTGTCTCAGATTGGATTTGAGTTCAGGTCTTCCTGACTCCAGCCAGGCCCAAAGCTTATCCACTGCACTACGTAGCTGCCCTAACCAGTTAATACTTTTATCTTTTTTTTTTTAATGTCCATTAGGGTTAGCAGAAAACTTTTTATTCCAATATTCTCAGTCATTTCCCCCTATTTTCAACACTTGCAGTGTTTGAAACACAGCTTTGCTACAACAGTAAGTTGTATGACTTTGGATAGGTCAATCCAGCTTTCTCAGTGTTTCCTCATCTGTAAAGTGGGGATGGCAATATTTGCATTAATAATACTTGCAATAATACCATACCTTGTGAGAATAAAATGGGATAACCTACAGAAAGGTATTTTGTAAAACTTGAAGCACTATATGAATACCAATTTGTCAGAGAACCTGAGGATTGTCCTAAAATCTTACAATGTTTGTATTTTTTAAAAGACTCTCTCAAATCTCTTGTTTATTAAACAAGCTAAAAGCCAAACCCAAGCTAGCACTTCTAAACTTTCTTGGAGAGGTGACAGTCAGTTTAGGATCATAGGATTTAGAACTGGAAGGGACTTACTAGACCAACCAGATAATTGTACAGATGAGGAGACTAAAGTCCAGAGAAATTGAATGAATTGCCCAACTTCACATAGTCAGTTAATAAAAAGAGTTGAAAGGAGACCCTGGATCCTCTGACTTCCAATCTGACTTGAAATGACCACTTTATCCTGCTCTAAATTCCTTTTGAATGTCCATACATCACAGGACAGGTGGGCTGTCCTAGGGGTTTTCTTGTCTAATTTCCTCATTTTACAGATGAGAATATTGAGACCCAGAGATGTTAAGGGACTCGCCCAAGGGTCATACAGGTAGTAAATCACAGGGATTCAAGTCCACTCTTCAGACTCCAGTGCCTTTTCCACCATTATACCCCGTCTCTCTGTTGCTGAATGATAATTGAATTGTAACAAGAGGGAAGTGGACTTGAGTCTTCTGTATTTAATTAGATCCCTTACTTTTGTCCAAGATATTTCCTGATTCTTCCATTCATATAGATGTCCCAGGACAATTGAGGTGAATAGATGTTAGAGAGATTGATTATGTCAGAGGGACAGATGATAACACCAACAATATGAACATGGCGATGGTTACCCATTGAGTTGAAAGGGAAGAATAAAAAATTTAGGCATGGAATTTCCAAGTGGAATAGGACAAGAGGTCATCATCCAAGCTACATGGGCTTTCCGGATACTCAGACCTGTCCATCTTACACTGCAAAAAGTTGAACCACTTAGCATTTACAAGGAAGTAGAAAGTATGAGTTTAATAAAAGCTATTTAGGTTTTCAAGGCTCATAACACCTATAGATTCACCCTTAGGTAACTCACATTAGGGACTATAATATTTATTAAGCAGGGTTGGATGGGATTAGACAATAAGCAAAAAGCTAACCTGAGAATAAGATTTATTCACAGAACAGTTTATTTGCATGGTTGATATTCTTACAAACCCATTTTCCCTAACTCAATTTTGCTGAATTTTAGCTGATACTATATTTGGACAGTATTAAAAAAAAACAAAAAACCAAAACCTGCCATCACACAACGTAGTAACTTCAGGGTCAACATCAACATAAATAATTACTATTTAGCACCAAGTGTCATGGGTAAATGACATTGCTCCACACTATTATAACTGTTTTGTTTTGTTTTTTTTTGATGTGTCATTTGTTGCTATGACCCACTAGACACTGCTTTTGAACATCATTGTGATGTTTAAAGGAAAGGTTAGTGGGGTCTTTCAAAAAGTAAACATGTCACACATTGTGTAAAGATGGTGTAATCTCTATACTTACACAACTTTTCTGTTTCCAAAGTTTGGCGATTGGAAGTATCTTCGGCCATGCCAAAGTTCATCCTGATCTCTGCGTCATTTGGGTAGATGCACATAGTGATATCAACACTCCTCTGACAACCACAACTGGCAACTTACACGGACAGCCTGTGTCTTTCCTTTTGAAGGAACTAAAGGGACAGGTAAAGAAATATGTTTGAATTCTGTCATCTGAATTAGTTTTTAGAAACTTGGACAGATGGAAGGGAGAACTAATTCCCCTGTACCATCTTGTTTTTTAGAAGGGCTCTTAACTACCATGGTTTTTACAATGAGACAGGTGGCATAATGGTGGGCCTAGAATCAGGAGGTCCTGAGTTCACATTAGCAACGTAACTCTGGGCAAGTTAATTAATCTCTGCTGCCTCAGTTTCCTCATCTGCAAAATGGAGATAATAGCACCTATTTCCCAGTGTGGGGATCAAGTGAAATAATATTTATGAAGTGCTTAGTACATTGCTTTACACATAGTAGTTGCTTAATAAATGCTCTTCCTGCACCCTGCCCCCAATGTTTAATCCAGGTGGTTGAGATTTTTACAAATCCAGATGCATCCTCCTAAGTGCTCAGCCCTTTCCATGAGATCTGTCTCAGATGATCCACTTGGATTAGATGTATGTAGATTTATATTAAGGTAGCTTTAAGACCAATTGTGTGTTAAGTCTCTGGAAAGTGTTATTCCTAGGAGGAATTATTCCTTCTCAAGGAACTTATGAGATGGAATTACATATAGATTTAATTTTTTGCTGCTAATGCCAATTAAAACTTCTATTACTTAAATATTAATGGTACAATTATTATTTAATTTTATACTTCACATGAAGCTGGTCTTAATTCATTTAACAGGTTGGCTATTGCTGGCTGAGTATTTTCTAATAATACATTGATAGAAAATGTAGTGATACTCGATGCCCAGAAGTGAAGTCTTATAAACTGGCAACCAAGTGTTCGACCAAATCTGCAAAACACCTGATTAATGGGGCAGCTAAGTGGTGCAGTGGATAGAGTCAGGAGGATCTACCTGAGTTCAAATCCAGCATCAGACACCTGACACTTACTAGCTGTGTGACCCTGAGCAAGTCACTTAATCCCACTGCCTAGCAAAAAAAAAAAACAAAAAATAAATAAATAATAAATCTGATTAACATGGATGAAACCAACTGATTGTCAGGGCAGGTCTATGCAGAATAGATGACTTTCTATAAAAAATGCTTTTAAGGACCCCCAAAAAACCCAGTTGCTTCAAAATAGCTGCCATACTGCTTGGATTCTATTAATCATTATTTTTTTGGTTAAGGGATTGTGCCCAGAAAGTCCAAGTTTAAAATCCACCCTAGAGGGGCAACATTTTGGACCCTTAGCAGTAAGACATTCATATGGACTAGATGATAAGACTGAATGGGTTAGTTTATCAATCCACTAGTTGTCACATTGGAAAATAGGTGCCTGAAGGAGATGGGATGTGTAAATTTTGATGAGGGTGACAAAGTGTGTGGGATTCAGAATAGTTAGTGCCACAGAATTCCTGAAGTCAGAGTCCATGAAGGAGTTAGAGATATTTCTCACATACTATTGTTTAGGACCACTTCTTTTATACATACATACATACATACATACATACATACATATATGTAGCATTTTTTGCATTCTAAATGTCATCCTGTCTATTGTACTTATAATAGTAAACATGCTTGATTATGAAAGAATAAAAATAAATAGAAGCATCATTTTTTTTTAGATCCCTGATATTCCAGGATTCTCTTGGGTGACACCCTGCTTATCAGCTAAGGATATTGTATACATTGGGTTGAGAGATGTGGATCCTGGTGAACAGTTAAGTGTATTTATTTCTTAGTCCTACTATTTATCATAGTTTTCTCTACTGATAATTTAATAATTCCAATTTAGCCAGATAAAACAATTCATAGGATATAAATGTTTCATGTTTTTAATTGCATGGAACTTCAAAAAACAAAAACCCAGGCAAAGGTGGAAACAATCCTAAGCCATCCTTCTATGTAAAGTAACTGTTAAAATTTTTCTTGAAAATGTAGATTTACTTCTATTCAGCTATTAAGAGAACAAATGCTTCTGGGATACTTGGATGAATCTGTGATCTTATTGTATATGCTCCCTCTAGTGGTGCAGTCTTCCCATTCCATGTGACAGGCCCATGACCAGTAAGTTTCAAATAGGACTCCACCTAGCATGCCGAGCATTGCTCTCCTCTATCCTTCATTGTCTGAAGTAACAGTGGAACCCAAGACTGGCTAGTGGCTTCTCCCTCACTCTTGCTGAATGACTGGCCCCATTTTTTAACATGTCTGATGATTATTTAATGCCAGTGCTCTAGGACAAATCTTAATTGGTAATACGCTGTAGCCCACTTGGGCCCATCATGAATTTCTCCATTGACCTAGATCAATTATCTTTTTTTTTTGCAGTCGCATCCTTAAAGATCTGGGTATTAAATTTTTTTCAATGACTGAAGTGGATAAGCTTGGAATTGCCAAGGTGATGGAAGAAACACTAAGTTACTTAATAGGAAGGTAAGACTTCAGTTTTTTGTAATGTAAATACTATTAATGATGTTGTTACACACAGGAACTGCCATTATTAAATACACAAGAAATCAATACAGAAAATCCTCTCAGGAAAACAACTTTTGGGGCAGCTAGGTGGCGTAGTGGATAGAGCACCGGCCCTGGAGTCAGGAGGACCTGAGTTCAAATCCGACCTCAGACCAAACCCTTGACACTTACTAGCTGTATGACCCTGGGCAAGTCACTTAACCCCAATTGCCTAAAAATTTAAAAAGAAATTAGAAAACAACTTGACTTCAGATAAAGGTAGTGAACTGTAATGGGCTAATAGGTACAGTTCCTTATCTACTCAATGTTAACATCTTTCAACGTTTTTTTTCTTCCACTTGAAGGAAGAAAAGACCAATTCATCTGAGTTATGATGTGGATGGACTGGACCCATCGATGACACCCGCTACGGGCACACCTGTCCCTGGAGGTCTGACTTACAGAGAAGGTCTCTATATTACAGAACAAGTCTTTAAAACAGGTATGACCAATATCTGAGAAAATAGAAAATGTAAACTTAAGACAAATAAAAACCTCTAGGGGAGAAAGGGGTTAAAGTTAACTTACAGAAAAGGTATTAACATATTTCTCCACTTTAAAATTGTCAGTATATTAAAAAAAAATTCAACATCTTATGTATGATACTTGTAAGAATACTGTTATAAAGATTGTTGAAGTATGCAAAAACTTGGCAAACTATCCTTTTCTTGTTTTTACTCCCTTGGGTTAGTCCCCTCAGCTTTTTATTGAATTTAAAATCTTGACATCTTATAAAATGTATTTTTACCACCTATTGTTACAGGGCTCCTCTCGGGATTAGACATAATGGAAGTCAATCCATCCCTTGGGAAAACACCAGAAGAAGTAAAGCGGACAGTGAATACTGCTATTGCATTAACTTTGTCCTGCTTTGGAGTAGCTCGAGAGGGCAATCACAGTGCCAACTGACTGTAAATAAGTCTCAATAATTCTGAAAAGGAATTGGGGGGGGGGGGGCGCGGTAGTAGGAGGGAAGAGAATTGATATTCAATGCCTGGCTAACAATGAGCAACTCTAAAAATTGTGCTTAAGCTTACACTTTCCCCAAAGCCTTTTGCCAAATTTTAATAGGTAAATAACTAAAGTTCTAATCCCTTCTTTAATGTGAAATCAAAGTATTTTTGCTTGCCCTTTAGCTGTAATCAAGGGGAAAGACTTACAGTGACTCTGGGGAAGAGAAATGTAAACTTGAGGCTAATTCATTAATTTGCTGTTAGCTGGTTTAACAACATAAACATGTATATAGTGAAAACTGGTAACAGGAGGCAAACAGCATTAATCTGTTGTTTGCCACGTGTGCCTGTACATGAAATATAGCTAGAGACCAAACTTAAGCTAATACTAACAGGTAACAGCAAGGACCACGTTCATCCATCTGAGTTTTTAGTTCTTTTTATAAGGAACAATAGCTGCATAGACTCTACTATGCCTTCCCATTCTTCCACCAGTAATGCTGAAGATTTATTTTTATGAGAGATCTTAACCTTCTGAAATATTTGACTGAATAAATTTATGTCACTAAGTCTGTGTAGGAAATGCCTTGTTATGAAGTTTCTTTAAAATGTCTGACTACTAATAAAAATACTTGGTCAAATTTATTTTGACACTGAAAAGTAAAATTTACTTTCATCTTTGAAAACTGGGGACAGAGAACTTTTATGAGAACATTTATGTTTGGTAATATACATCCATTTAAAGTAGAGTAAACACTCTGAGGAAGAACATTCTTCCCATATTATCATTTTCATTTTGTCTTTATTCTACTCAATGACTATGACATGTAAAGGATTGTATCATATCAACTTTATCACGAGTACAATAAAGTATCATCTCCCACCAAAACATCACTCTTGAAGTATCATCAACTGAAAAATACCAAAGATCTTTTTTTTCCCCAAAGAAAGATTAACAGATTCCTTAACATAGGTTTGAGTAAAAAAAAAAAAAGCCCAGATTCTACAGTATAAATACCAAATACTTTGATGATTTCACATGAACTTCAAACGTTTGGGGAATATGGTCATTTTTGGTATCCTAAAAGGTCAAACTCCTGGATGCTAAGCCTGTGGGATTCAATCTTATGATTTCACTATAAAAATCTGTTTACTTTTTTAGAGGCAAAATGGGGTGGCAGAGTTCTGAACTTGTTGTCAGGAGACCTGAATTCAAATTCTGGCTCCAATATTATCTAACAGTTACATGGCCGTGGGCAAATTGGATCGTCAGTTTCCTTCGAAATGAGAATAATTCTTGTATACTACCTGCTTTAAAGGGCCATGACGGAAAAAACAAAACAAAAACCTTTATAATCCTTAAAGTATAAGTATATACAAGTCATCATTATTATACAAAATAACCTTGGGGAAAATTGAGACCCTATACAACACATACAAGAATGTCTTTTTAGGGTATTAGATTCTGTTTCATCAATGGTTCTTTCAAATTTAGTCACTTTGCACTAAGAAGTAAATTCAAATCACCAATTATTAATAAAATTTCTTTAATTAAACAATATTTTACACTTCTTACAAGTACTGGTTCCATTGTTTGCTTGTCAAAGTTAAACTGCATACAGCACAAAATCCAACAAAATTTTCATCATACAAATATAAAGGTTTCAACATTATACAAATTTAATTAAGACTAGGCAGGACAGTCATACCATTATCCAGTTGCGTAAGTCAACCTCGAAACTTAAAAGCATGAATTATTCCTCTTTGAAACATGATTTTATTTGCAACGTCAATGAACCTATTAGATTTTATTCTCTTTGGTGCCTTCCAATCACTCATAGAATAACTTTGGGTCCATGGATAACATTTTTACCAATCTATCTTCTTTATTGGAAATAATAGAATATACAAATGGAAATTTACAATGATCTTTTTTTTAAAAAATAAGAATAAAAAACTTGTTAACCCCTCCTTACCAAATACAATTAACCAGAAAAGGAGTTTATACAATTACCAATTAAACCAGTTTAGAAGACTAAGGGGAAGGAAATAAGAATTTATATAGTGCCTACTATGTTCCAGGCACTGTGCTAAGTGCTTTACTGTTGGGTACCCCTTCAGACAATCCAGGTTTGAAGACTGAATATGACACTGAATATAAAAATTAAAATAAGCAACCAATAAATGGAAGACTTGAAGATCCTAATAAATTAAATTCAACTCATTATTATCACCACTATGTTCCCACTGTGCCACTGATAAATTATTCTGGATAGCATAACATGATTCTTCCTCTATTCTCTTGAGGTAAGTCCAGATAAGGAGGTGGTAATGATAGATGTCCAGTAGATTTGCCACATGAATCAAAATTAATATGATTTTGAATTTGTTTTACTCTCTTCTAGTATGGTGCTATGCGATAGAAAAGTGTTCAGACCAACTGGGTTTTTCTCACCATTTCCAAAGTAATCAGTGCTCCAATTTTTACCATGGGGCCATTGGCTTTACTGAGTTACTGGCAAAGCCACATTGACTGTCACCTGAGTAGGCTGAGGTGCTGGGGACCCACTGTTTATGGTTTGTGGAGGTACTGCAGCCGGTTCCATTTTGCTGATATGTGTTATGAATCGCAGTCTAAGTTTTAAAGCCGGTCTTAAATTGCAGATAATTTTCTCTACCTAAGAAAAGGGAATATATACAAAAACATTAGATGTCATTTAGACCCATAAATTTTAGACAAAGAACTACAACCTATTAAGTAATATATTTTAAGAGGTTAGATCTGTATATATCCTTAATCACCTGACCAGGAAGAGGAAGGATGAAAGTAATTTTCTCTCCAAATAAAAGCAGAGAGAAAATATTCTTCTTGCCTCCTAAAGTACTAAAAAAAAAAAAAAAAAAAAATCTAACAATCAAAGACCAGGCAAAATTGCAAGAGACTTTATTGTCTATCAGGTTTGTCTTTTTTGTAATTTTTATGTATAATTTATAATTTTTAATAATGCCATCTTCCTGAGAAAACGGACAAGGCTTCATATTCTACAAGGTTCCTAATAAAAATGTATCATAAACAAAATTTGCTTAGCAAATTATTTATTTGGTGTTGTTTTGGCTTAGTATTTAAATGAAATGGGAAATTTTTATTCATAGCACTATGCCACTGTGTCAAAATTTTGTCTATTACTACTCTTTAAATCCAACTCAAACTCTTTTCCTTATGTATTTAGCTCAACTTCCAATTACGTTTAGAAATATGCTCCTATCATATTTCTCCCTTTCTCCTATCCATCTTTTCCCTAATTTGAAAGAAAAACTACTTCTAACCTACTTTAGAATATAAAATCAGTTTCACAGCTTTTCTCAGTTTTAATGGCATTTGCTTAGTCTTTAAAAAGGCAGACAGATAAATAACAGTGAGAGGGAAAGAGATCTAGACTCAGCTTAATTACCACTCTCTTCCTTCTTTTATATGTCTTCCATCCCTGCAAGAAAAGACACTGCCAGAAAATAGTAAAAGAATGAGTCAACATTCAATTAAAAAAACTATGTTAACTGGGTACATATACAACATATGCAGGCTTTGAGAGAGATACAATAATAAGATAAAGACTCTACCCTTGAGAACTTAAAATCTAACAGACAAAACACATAACAATTACAGTACAAACTGAAGTGTGGTAGGTGCATAAGAAAGAAATAATATGACTTCATAGCTCTCAACAGGCTAGGTAGAAGGGGCTCTAACAGAAGCAGAAATCAGGAAAAACTTTTTTGAACTGGGGAGAGTGAGATTTGAACTGGTCTTTGCAGATGGATAAGATTTTAGCAAGTGCAAAACTTGGGGGAGGGCATTCCAGGTATAGGAACTAGAGATTCAGATGTGTTAAATTAAGTAAGAGTGTTTGGATGACAATAATTCATTTTGGCTAAAGTTAAGGTGAGAAGTACAAAGTCAAGGAAAGGAAGGTTGGTGGAAGACTCTGAATTAATGAATTCAACAATTACTAAGTACATATTGTATATAAGGACAACGCAAAATCTTAACAGTGTTTTGGGAACAGGAGAAAGAAGAGATCAAGACACATACAAATCAGTCAGTTCCAGGCACTGCTAGGTGCTAGGGATGTAAAGAAGGGCAAAAATACAATCCCTTCATTCAAGGAGCTCATATTCTAATAGAGGAGATATCATGCAAGTAACATTATATACACATAAGATACATGCAGTGGAAATGAAGAGTCTCAGAGGGAAGGTGGAAATAAGGAACATACATGGGATATGGTGTCAACACAGAAACAAGACTTGACAACACACTGGATATGTGAGATGAGTATGAGTGAAATGGCAAAGGAGAGATCCGAAAAAAAAGTGATCTAGAAACATTTGAGAAGAGATATTTAGCTGTGGTGGGGAAGAAAGCTTCAAAGGACATAGCACCTAAGCTGAATGTCATCTGGTTCAAATGTAGGGTGTAGGAAGGGGTGTAATCTAAAATGATCGGAAGTGGAAGTTGAAGTTAGATGACCAAGGGACTTAAACATAAATCTACGGAGACAATATTTTATCCCACTGAACATTTATGATGAGGAGAATGACACAGCGAAGGTCAATCTTCCAGGATGTATCTAACAGAAGAATTAAGACCCGAGGCAAGACAAAGGGGTTTGCCCTTTGATAGACAACAGGAAATCAGTCAACTTTTTTTTTTATTAGTGGAATGACATGATTAAGGTTGTGCATTAAGAAGATTAATCTGCCAACAATGTATAGCAATAACCAGGGTTGGTGGTGGGGACAGACTGAAGGTAGAGAGATGTATTAGGAAGCTAAGGTAATGCTAGTCTGAAGGAGGATGACAGAGGGAATAAAACAACAGATGAAAGATAGGATTTGAGAATGTATTTATGGAGAATGAAATAATAGGACTTGATATGACAGAAAAAGAAGAGGAAGGAATCAAAGATGACAATCACGGATGACTGAAAAAAGTTGCAGAGCACAAAAGAGAATCCTGAAAAATAAATAAGCCCACAGCAGTCCCTTTCCCTTCCCCCAAGCATTTAGTAGCAGCTGTGAGACCCTAAGCAATTTCTTTAACATCTCTCAGTCTCAATTTCCCCATCTGTAAAATGAGGATAATAACAGCACCTACCTCACAGGGTTGTTGTGAGGATCAAATTAAGTAACACATGGACTTTAAAGTGCTATATGAATAATAGCTATTGGGGCAGCTAGGTGGCGCAGTGGATAGAGCACTGGCCCTGGATTCAGAAGGACCTGAGTTCAAATCAGGCCTCAGACACATAACACTTACTAGCTGTGTGACCCTGGGCAAGTCACTTAACCCCATTGCCTAGCCAAAAAAAATAAAATAAAATAAAATAAAATGAATAAATACTAGCTATTATTATAATTATTCTCCTCTACCTACAACTGGCTCAAAGGTGATTAAACCTAAATCTGAAACCAGAAAAGTATTTCTAAATGTAAAATACTATCTTATTTTGTACCATTTCCTCATCTAATACATTTTCTGGGTCACAAAGATATTAGATTCATGTTTTCTATTCCTCTCTAAACAGCTTAAGACTAGTGTTATGGTGACAGAGATGCTCACAAAATTCACTTTCTCCTTTTTTTTTAGTTAAAAAGAAATAAGAGGGAAAAATAATAAACAGCTGTGGATATTCTGCACAAAACAAAACAAAAACCCATACCAAAGCTTCCCAAGCACATTCTACCTCCCAGTTTTCTTACACCTAAATAATTTCCTTAAAATTTCATTTCAACATAAACTAATTTGCTTTGGACTAATAGTTACTCTTTTAATAAAACAATGTGGAAAAAAAATTTATATTAGCATACTTCCCTAATTCTGCACAGCAGACATTAGAAGGGAATACAACTCTCTAGGGAAGGCAGAAAGCCAGAGCAAAAGCACTAAGCTGGAAAGTCCTGTGTAAAGTACTAGTAAGAAAGCCAGCTGGGCTAGGTAACATAATCTGCACTGCATTACAGAAAATCTTTTGTTTTGTGTTCAGTAGTCCAGAAATGATTCACATAAAATATTACTTACCTGGTCTTTCACACTGTCACCAGTAAACATATACTTCATATGATATAAGAAATCACAGATGGGATCCATGTAGTGTAAGTGGGTGCTACACTGGTCTACATTCAGAAGCATATCATAAAATGCCACTCCAATCTGTTTAATAAATAAAGATAAACTGATAAAATGTCTTGAATTATCTGACAGATCTATTTATTTCAGCTCAATTATAGCATACATGAGATAAAATTCATGTTTTAGAATGTCTGTATTCTAGTGAGAGTTGAATCTACACTGTGATAATTCCAAGTATCTGTGATCTCCTCAATACGCAAACTCCCTTAACTGGTACAGATCACTACCCATTCACATGTCATTCTATGTGTCTTATTC